GTAGTAGTAGTAGTAGTGGCAGGAGTAGGAATAGGAGGACTTCTAGAAGCAGGAGTAGCAGTAGCAGTAGAAGCAGGAGGAGGAGAAACAGCAATCACTCGCTCCCGGAAGGATTCATTTAGCCCATCCGTGCCTTCGGACGTTTCACTAAGCTGCATTACACGTACCCGCATTGGCGCCTCCCAGCCTTGTTCGACCCATTCGAATCTGCTCTTCGGACGGAACCCGGTGTCCAGATGGGTAGATCTCTAAATTAGGCTCCTTTTGATAAGGTTGCCGTACATTTTTTTGGGGAACTTAAAAGGGACTCTAATTGGGAGAACGCCCAGGCTTGAAGAAATTGCGTCCCGATTTCTTCGCGAGTCTCATGGGCCTGGTTGAAGATGGATGTGAATGTGAATTGTCGCCATGTCTCTTGTATCCGGGACACTCGATGTCTATCTCTGTCAGACTCTGACAGCAGTAACATATTACATATTAGATATTATATATAAGATGTTATACCAGATTTTGCATATTATATCTTATATACCAGATGTTATGTGTTATTTATAAAAAACACACACTATGTACTATGAAATATATTTTTACATATTATCATTAGTATTTCTATGCTTATTCTGTTTCGTACTACTACTACTACTACTACTACTACTACTGCTACTACTACTACTACTACTACTATTACAACTATCACTATCATTACTTTTATCATTATTACCATTACTATTATTATTGTTATTATTATTATTACTATTATTTTTTGTTATTATTATTAAGATAACAGCTAATATCATTTATTATTGCTTTTATTGTTATTTTCTATACTTCTTCATTATGTATTTACTTTTTATTTGTTCTTTGTTATATTTGTTCTTAACTCAAAAATTATTATTAGGTATTATTATTGTCATTATTGCTGTTATTCTGACTATGATTATTATTATGATTAAAATTATGGTTCTTAGTATGATTACTTTTATTAATATGATGATGATGATTACTATTATTCTTATTATTATTGTTTTTGTTATCACTATTATCATTATCATAATGTATATACATATATATATATATATATGTATATATATATATATGTTAAGCAATTTACAGTATGGTGACCCTTAGTATGTTTTTGGCACCATGAGGCCCTTTGTTGAATCTTCAATGCTGTCTGTTGCTGTTGCCAGTTCCTAGTGCGGCTTCTTACTAGGATTTAGGGTTCAGGATTTAGGATTTGGGGTTTAGGGTTTGGGATTTAGGGTTTAGGGCCAACGAGATGCTAACATCAGCCTGCTGGGATTGGCTAGCTCAAGTTCGGCGTCCCAAGGAATGACTCAGCTACAGCCCTCGGGCACCAAGCTCTAAACAAGCTCCCCGCCACTCACCAAGCTCTAATGTAAGGGCCCTTAATAGTTAGAATAGGGTTTTGGGGGCTTCTTATTATGCTTATAGTCTAATATACCCCCAAACCCTATTCTAATTACTACGGGCCCTATATTTAAACAACTCTCAAGCAGTTGCCATGCTGCTGTTGTTCGGCCCTGAGGATCTGGTCCCGCAGGAGCAACCTTCCAGTACATTCTCTCATGGGTGGTTGTCAAAATTATGGTCCCCCCTTTTACCTTATTATAATACGGCACCTATTATTTAGGGTACCCCAAAAGGGACCATAATTTTGACAACTTCCCTCATGCTTCGTGCTTCTTGAGGGAAGGCACGCTGTAGGGGAATAGTCGGAATGAGCATGGTCGGGTGTGAGCAGATGACTTCGAATAGGCCTTTGGGGCGGATTAACCCTAAAGGCCCCGAAGTCAGCAGGGCTCGTTCTGCCCTAAATGGTGCTGATTTCCCTCGGCGTTGGACGAATTATTCTGTTCAACCGGGAATTTTGCAAGTGTCTCCTCCCCTGTCCAACTGTTCACTTCAGTAGTCTTGTTGGGACAAGTGCAAGACAAACGTTTGCTTGGCAAAGCAGCGATCCACATCTCACCCCGAGGAAGTCTTATTGACCTCTGAAGTTTTGAAGTGTCCTGTGGGACATGCCATGGCGGAATAGCTGCCCTGACAATCTACAAGCTTCCTCAGACTGGTCCAAACCGCTGAAGAAGCCAAACGTGTCAGACCTTGCCGATCTGGCTTCGACACCGGCTTAAAGTCGCTATCACCTACTTGTATGAATATCGAAACTGGAGAGCCAAACACCCGGTCACACCGGAGAAGCATTTTCCTCGCCTCTTTCGGTTCGACTTTCCCGACTCCTTGCCACAAGGCTTGCGAGGGGTTGCGGTTCGGGGGTTTAGGGCTTAGTTGGATTGAGGAGGTGCTGAGAACTCGTCAAACACAGACCATTCTCGACAGCACACCTGCTATGCAAACACCATGACACTCTCACTGCCTAGCGAAAACTCCGCGACTCAACAAAGCTCAAATTTCTCCTTTCGCCTCTGCAAGGGCTTGCCGTTGTGTCATGCAGGTACAGATTAACGGTTCAGGGTTTAGGGGTTTAGGGGCTTTAGGGGTTGAGGGGTCTAGGGTTTAGGATTTATTCCAAACCTTGATGCTTTGGAAAACAAGGCTGAACCTCCAAGAAGAGCAACCAGCCCTACAAAGTACTACAAAGTGACAACAAGCACTTTCATGGCGTGCTTGCAGGCACGCGGGAACCTTCAAACAACCCCAAACCCTAACCCCAAGCCCTACACCGTGCGGCTGAGTGTCGCTTGATGCCTACGCCAGGTGGGTTCTTCGACATGGGCGCGATCTTTGGCTCCCGCCCTGCAAAAATCGCACATGAACCGCGCACCTATGTATCATATTGTATTATATCACATTATGCCATATTATGCTTTTACTGTACTGTAACCTAGATATTATATATAATGTAATATTCGACATTGGTCAACCTGCTTTACTGCCAGCAGAAGGCACGGGGCCCATTGAAGCAGCGAGCTCTTGGAGGGATAGTATCACATGTACCGATTTAGGGTTTAGGGTTTAGGCTTTAGGGCCAAACTTCTCACATCTCGTACAGAGACAGCATGCTAATTTTGAATACCAGGATTTGCACCATTGCACAAACAACTCGATCTCAAGCGCAGGCTATGATTCGAGAACTCCCAAAAAGTTCGTGATCCAACTCCATACAAGACAGGCTTGGCTACTAGCTGGGCTCTGGCACGAACCCTAAACTTTAAGCCCTGAAACCCCAATGCTTTTCTCTGGTGAACGAAGGCTTCCTGGCGACAGTCTCCAAAAAGCTCCCTTCCTAAAGTTGGATCCCCTTAGGTTCTTCATGATAAGACTGCCTTGGTCTGTGGAGGGTTGCGTAACAAGGACACGATTTAGTAACATGCAAAACAAGGTTCTTCTGATACGTATACCACAACCCTGTAGAGACCATATAACAAAGCTGGTGCTTAATGTAGGGGCCTGAAAAATTGGAATAGGGTTTTGTGGTATATTGTACTATAATTAAAATAAAGGACCCCCAAAATAGTATTGGTAATGATTTACTGCTTCACATGACCCCTGTATAACCTCCAAGACCATGCCTGGAAGTTCGGCGGCAGCTCCGTTAAGTGGAAGATCCAAGTCCTGCAACACAGGACTCTGAGATAGTAAGTGGAATAAGGTAGGGGCCTAATAACTAGAATAGGGTTTTGGGGTATATTATGAAAACATAACTATAATCAGGAACCCCCACAATAGTTTCGGTAATTATTTAAGCCTCTGTATTAGGGTGTCTTACAAAAAAAATATATTTACGAACTAATCCGACCCCTGCGTTGTGGGGATGTTTTAGAAGTCTTCCTCGCATTTAGTGTAAGCCCCTTTCTATGCATGCCGCGCGACCCCTCACCGACTGCTCGCCTTCACCACCGGCTGTCATCTTAAACAATAGCCGCTGCTGCAGAACCCTAACCCCAAACCCTAAACCCAAACCTCTGAAACCGAGGAGCCCCACAAAACGAGACTCCGTCACTAAACTCTAAGCCCCGTTTGAAACCTAAATCGCCAAAACCCCCCAACCCCTGAACCATAAATCCTCGATGCAAAACTTCCACTTCATCCGTTGTTAGGTCCTTAAAAACACTCGAGAGTTTTGGCCCAGAAATGGAGCATATAGAATGTCGAATAGCTTTGCTGTGCCGTCAGGACGACTCGAACAATTCTCGTGAAAGTGGCCGGTCTCGTCGCTGTCCTAACGCTCGCAAATTGGTAATTGGTAACGAACGGCACATCCTAACGAAACCTTGAACTCTAGCTAAATCCTAGCCCCTGAACCTGAAACACAAAACCCTAAACCTTAGCTAAACACCAAACCCTAAACCCGGCGAAGGATCGAAGGTATCGCTCCCTGTCGGCGTGTCTGCTTACCGCTAGCATACATTTCAAAAACCCCGAATCCCTAAAGCGCAACCCCTAAATCCCTAAACCCAAAAAAAACCCTAAAGCCCTGAAGCCGCTAAATTTCAGAAACTCCTAAACCCCTACACCCCTAAACCCTAAACCCCTAACCCCTAAACCCCTACTCCCCTATACCCTAAACGGCATGGGTGCCGACGGGCCTGCAAGCCACCGGGTCCGGTCCAAGGCGAAGATGACCTAAGGGTCTAGGGCTTACCAGTCTGGTTTAGGGGTCTAGGGTGTGAGGGATTGGGGTTTAGGGTTTAAGGGATTAGGGTTTAGGGGTTTAGGGTTTAAGGGATGAGAGTTTAAGGGTTTAGGAGTTTAGGGTTTAAGGGACTAGGGTTTAAGGGATTAGGGTTGAGGGGTTTAGGGGTTTAGGGTTTAGGGGTTTAGGGGTTTCGGGCTTAGGGTTTCGGGGTTTAATCGTTTAGGGCTTCTTGGGCTCAGTAGGCTTCGAGGATTTATAAGGTTGAGGGTC